ATGCAAATTATCAAAAACGATCATCTACTCGTACAGTACGTTTTACATATTAAATTGTATACAAACTGTTGCTTAGCCTATAAATTTTACAATTTAAACACAATTAAAAGGTACATATTTTATTTTTGCTATTGTTGTTGGTGTTGATATTGCTGGCTGGTGCTGGTGTTGTCGTTGTTCTTGTTTTAGTTGTTGTGTTAGGGACAACTTAATTTATAGCATATAAAAACCGAACAAGAAAACATAAAACAGACAATAAGATGAACAAAGAAATACATAAACACACGCATACATATTTATTTATATATATATGCATATATATACCGGAACAGTAGAAATGAATTTATGTGAAACGAAATGTAATAACAGAGTTAAAAGTTCAGCAAATAAGAAGGATAGCAGCAATAATAATAAGAAAAGCAACAACGATATATAAATAGTAACAACAATAACAATAACAACAACAGCAGCAAAAATCAAAACAGAATTATAACAATTATTAGAACGGACATAGAAAATGAAAACAACAAAAGTGGAAAAGGAAATAAAATGTTCTAAGAAAACATGTTAAATTTTGCATATAAAAAAAAAAAAAAAGATTTGGGTTGAACAACAATGCCCCAAAGCCAAGCCATTGTATACGTGATGATATAGATGGAAGGGTTAGAAGAAAACAAAAAAAAAACAAAAACAAAAACGCAACAATAATAAAAACAAAAATTAACAAGCAAACAAAAAATGCAAATATTAAAAATAATAAATGTAAGTGTTCTAGATTTTTTTTTTTTTCTTTCTTATTTTTTATTCCTCTTTATCTTAAATGTTTTTATTCTAATGGCCAATTAAACCTAAACTAGAACATTGTATTATAAATGCTTTCTAAATATGCCTAAACACACATACACTCGTAACTTTGTTCCTACATAAATGTATTACAATTTAAAAAGTTGTACAACAAAAAAGAAAAACATTATTATTATTTTTATTTTTATTTTTTTTTTTTTTTTTTTTTTTGTTATATATTTCTTTATAACAAAAAGTCACGCACACCTTTGAGGTTATTTATGTGAGATTACGAAACGCTTCAAGTAAAAGAAAAACATATGTAAATAAAAAATTTTAGTTTAATAAATTTTTTCTTTTTTTTTTTATATTAGAAAAATTTTTAATTTAATTTAATTTAATCTTTAACCAGAGTATAGATGAGAAATACTTTTTTTTCTTATTTTTTTTTTTTTGTTTGGTTAATAAATATTTGATATTAAAGAAGAAAGAAAGCATAAAATATATTCACTTATGAAATTCTCTTATCACGATGCACCAGCGATTGTTTGTTTTTATGTGCAATGAAGATTTATATGCAATAAAATTTTCTATAATATATTTGGAATATAAAGAATTTTATTCATTTTGTAAATATATTTATATAATTAATATTCTATATATTCTTGAAATGCTGATTATGATAAGGAATTTAAAATTATTTACTAATATATCATCTTATTAACCGCTGAGTAACATTAAAAACATAATTTTAAGAGTTGAATAGAAAATTTTTATTGCATACTTTTGGGCGAACATTTTGCACTGACCACAATTTCATAAGCTGAGACTGAGACTTAAATCTTTCCAATTTATTATAAATGACTTTCCTTTGGAAGAATATTAGTTTTCTCATTTTGCATGTAATAACCATAAATTTGCTTTAGAAAACTCATAAAATATTTGTGTGCTTTTAATCAGGCTGTGCGTTCAAGTTCAATTACCATTGAACATACAATCGCTTGCCTTTTCGCCTTTATCACCCATTTAGTTGCTTGTTATTAGGGAAAACAAGTAAGAGGGAAAATGGAAATATGTCGCATGAGATTTTTCGTTATTTTCCAATAATTAATTTCGATATTGGCGAAAAATAATACCAACTTTCTTTGTCTGTGTAAGAAGCAAACGACCGGGAACACTTACAAGAAAGACGTAAATTTTCTAAATAATTTCTTTGTAGCCTCCATGGAACACAAATTCATAAAAAAAAAATATGTCGACTTAATTATCATTACAATCGGCCACTACCTTTAAGACTACAAACAAGTTGCCAGTATTCCTAAATCCCTCTGTCCACTTAACGTTCTGCTAATTGTTGTTAATCTTTTGGCCAACTGCCAGCTGCCAGTTGCATGCCCCAGATAAAGCTTTATGAATGTATTCTTGGTTTTCCCTTTCTTTTGATTTCTTAGAAAATCGGTTAGTTTTCATAATAATTCAAGATTTCTCAGAAAAAGTAAAATTTTTATGAGAGTATAGAGAGCGTAGTGTAAAGTATGTACGTTTGGCTAGACTTTTTATGTATGATAAACTACAGGTGCAGACATCTGTTAAATGCAAATGAATAGCATAGTTACTGAAAACCTCTCCTAACTCCTAGATGACTTCAAAAGTAAGGGTTACTTTCTTTCTCGTTATACAGCTTTATATTTATTTGGAAGCATTTGCTTTAAGAGAATAAATAGAGTTAAATAAGTAGTAAGAAAGACGCGGTCCGCCACCAATGACGTTACACAGACATTGCAGTTTGAAGAACGAAATTATCTACCACCGATATATAATAGTTGAAGTATAAAAAAAACCATAAATTTCTTCTTGTTTTTTTTTTTTTTTTTCTTGTAAGCATTTTCAAGTCTTACTGCAAAGTTCATGCCTCCTTGGCCGCCCAAGCATTGCTCTAGCCTCAAGCAGTTCGTAATACTTTCGATATGAAATTCATCTTCCGTCGGGCAAATAACAGTAGCACTATTATTACATTCCATGTCCTGACATTACTTTAAATAAATTTCGTTCTATAATTATGTTCTTTTTTATACCCGACCAACCAAGGATAAGTGCATATACGTCTTATCATAAGGTTTGCAGCACCCAAACGCAAGTTTGAGAGACCCTATGAAACATATAAACAGCGTAAAAGTCTAAATCGATTAAGCTAAGTGCGTGCGCGTAGTGTGTGTTTTTCACACAGTCCTGGTCGCGAAAATGAAGATACCATGTTCAAATTGACATTGGTTAGAACACACGCCCGCAATAAAAATAAAAACAACTGCGTTTATCTAACTAAAAATTTGTGGATTTTTGCTTATCACTAGTAGATGGCTGAAAATTTCTGCATTCATTTTATGGAAAATTCTGCTATGTGAAAAAATGGAAAACATGGACTATGCCCACACAAAATTACAAGTAATTAATTTTTTCATCAGAATATCTTCGTTATATTATATGAAACGACTTGAAACATAAAATGCGACGAGCTTAGCCTCTTAATCCTCATTTAAAATATGATGGGCTTAACGATGTGGCGGATTACTTTTTCGGTCACCATATCGATCGATATATTACATGAAAGGACTTGGAGAATAAAATGCGAAAAGCTAAGCGTAAGATAGCATCAATATAATGCAATAAATAAAATAAAATTTATGACCAAAGCTATAAACTTGTTTTAATATAAGAAAACCAAGAAACCAAGTGAGAAAAAGGTTTTTTTTTTTTGGCAAAAATTCAATAAAATCAAGGAACGAGATAATATATATCCGTAAATTACTAATAGCAAATTCTTCTGCACCTTTTTTTTTCTTTTTTTGTGCTTAAACTATCCACACAATATTAATTTATAATGTAAAGAGTAATGACAAACGCTGTCACTTTGATCTTATGTTCTAGTAGTTGTATAACTAACACTTTTCTACTATGGTAAACATGACAAAAAGCATAAATTATTTTATTAAAAACTTATTAGTAGTTCATTTCTATTTTTTATTTTTAATTTATAATAAATTTATTCTTTATGTTATTTATGACTTATTATCGTTCCAATACTAAGAAATAACTATAAAAGTAATTTGTTCGTTTTATTGTTTTTAAAGCATTTTCCTATTCGTTGACTTCGTTTTTCAGAATTCATTTTAAAGGGCAAAGTTTATTTTATAAACTTTGATTGCCTTTTTAAAATGCACATTTTACATCATCTCTTTTCAATGATTAGCGAATGGAGCAAACAATGGTAAAGCTAAACTGGTTACCTTCTTTTTTCTATTGTAAGAGCTTTTTGTTATTACACTTTCTTTTGAGACGTTAATAAATGCAATTAAATAAAGCAAATTTAAAGTAAGGCATACTATATTCTTCATTTCATTATTTTTATGTTATTTTATTTTTGAAATTGATCTTGAAAAAAAAAATACTGCTTGCTAATCATATTCAACGTCATATGCCATCTACAGGTTTCCCTTCTAAACTCAATAAACTACGTATGGCTTTGTGTTTACTGTATGTAGTGGCATTCCTCTATTTACTTGTTTCTCAGCCGCGCCCACCTCAAATTTTATAAAGTATGACTATTTAGTTTCTTATTTAGTTATTTAAACCTAACTACGAGTAATATAATATAACTTTTACGATAATAATCGATAATAATTTTCGATTTTTAGGCAGTCATGATTCGTTTCCTATCCAAAGTACGAAGTATTCTATAAAGGATCCCAACCTTTAATATATTTTATTCAATGTTTTGATAAGATTTCTAAAATTTATTGATATATGTGCAGCAGGCAGGCAGTACTGAGAACATAATAGTATTGAATTTCTTCTTTAACATATTGTCGTAGATGTATTCGTGACTTATTGATTAGGATATTGTCTTTAAGATAACTTTACATCACGTAAATTTCGTAACCTACTCATTACAGACCTTTTGTTTCCTTCTCTAATTCTCTGATGCATTATTTACTATTGTTTTATATTTCTCTTTTAATAAAAATTTTTGGGCAATCAATAATTTCTGTTTAATTGTAAGTGAATAAATTAAATAATAGTGAAATTATTGAAAAATTGTTGTATCGCGTCAGTTACGTCTGAAAATCCCTACCATTTTTATTTGTTATGAAAATCTTTTTGATTCTTTTTTATATTCAAGAACTACATGGAAAGCTTTTGTTTTTTCTTTATATTTACAGTTAAGCGAGGATATCGGTTATGTATTATACTCAGCATTGGGTTCATTTTACATTCCCAGTTGTATAATGGTTTTTGTATATATACGAATTTATTTTGCCGCTAAAGCGAGAGCGAGACGTGGCATCAAGAAGCATCCTCGTAAATTAAACAACGAACAGGTATGTGTGATAAATGTAATTATGTTAAAAATAGAAAAGCTGACAATACCGATTTAAAGCAATTAATAAGTTTGTTAAAGGTGGAGCCTTCCTATCGGCATTTTTTTTTTTGAATTACAGGAAACAAATCTAGATGTGAATTCATCATTAAATTTTCACTCTATAATCAATTGAAATAAATGCTGCAAAGCATTACCTTTTCCATTCCCATCGTTCTAACAGCTACTAAATTGCAATTGCGTTATGTTGGCGAGAATTTCCAAGTGCTCTTGTCCTGACCACTTGTTTTACGTTTAGAAAAGTTGAAGTTGGAAAAAAAAAAAAAAAAAAAAAAAACAAGGCGTAAGGACAGAAAGACAAAACGTTCTAATCAATGTAACACAAACAACATTTTTAAACGTAAAACTTTCTACTTTCGACGTTCAATTGAAGCAAGGTAGGAGCGCAATGATAGCGGCGCGCACACCCTCAGTTATAATACCATCAGTATAGTTGATGATAGTAGATAAACATATATATATATATATATATATATATATATATATTAACGGTTGACAAGGGTTTGGAGTTCGGTTAGTTAACAGTATCCGTACCGTCTGCCCGATAATGAATTGAAATTGAAAATTAATTTTCAACTTGCAAAGACGAACACGAAGAGATAAATGTATGTATATTTGCGTGTAGCTTTTAAATTGAATAGAATATTATTGGAATTGTTACAAAACTACTATCGTGCATTTATTTCCAAACAATCGTATACCAAGTATATGCGTGTGAGGACATGTATTGATTAGCACACCAGTTTTAATTCAATGTATCCATCGCAACAGCACGACGACACTTAACTGGAGCATATTTCAAGAAAAAAAAACAAAATAGGAAGGGTTCATTCGCCTTTGGCCGAATCTTGGATACCTTCTCTCCAACCAAAAAAAAAAAAAAAAAAAAAAAAAAAACATATGCCTGTGGATGGCTTTTAGTTTTTATGCATATATTGTATATATAAACTCTGAAGACATTTACATCAAAATTTAAACGTTTATATCTAGCAAAAGGGCACATTATGAACAATAGTGTTTCGAGGCCAGGACGAAACGATCAGTTCTTAAGAAAGAAGAAGTTCTCAGGTGAGGAGGACAAATAGCATCGAGATCTTGAGCGATATTCTATTTTTCAGATGCTTAGGACATCTTCGTAGCCAGTAAGGTTCATCTGGTTATGATCAATTATCAAACAAACGGACAGTCCAACAGACGAGACTCAATGATTCTCTGTATGTAAATATGTTTACTTGTTGAGGTCTTTACATGTTGCAAACGCATTGAAAACTTTACTATACTTTCATTTTTCATTAGAAAACGTAAAAACACCTTTTCAACTATGAAGCGCCCATAAATGAATACTTATTACAAGTAAAGCCGCATTAGAAAGCTCGATTCTATATAAAGTGAAAATTTGCAAATTATTGCAAGATAATAGAAATTTTAGGATTACCGTTACGGCTCTGCTGCATATTGCAACGGTAATGCGGACGCGTTAATTGCTTTCGATATTTTCGACAACTGTTTTGTCACAAGTCATTTCCATATATATATGTCTGTACCATTAAATCGATATACCGTCTCAACACTGTGAACGTGTGGTTATGTTTAATTGGCTGTTAATTAAACCACAGCATAAACCAGCCTTAAGGCGATTAACTTCATTTCAAAAGTATTCATTATTTCAAAAACGATTTAGAAAGTGCTACTATTTTAAATTTTGAACGGATTAAATTTGTTTTTGTAATCTCGCAGTCTATCAGCTAGAGTTGCTTTGATAAGCAATGATCTTGGTGCACATCCCGTCTTGTTTTTAACAATCAAATAGACGAAAAGACTTCGAAGAATGTGAGATAAACTATTTACAACTATGTCCCATATATCTTTACCTTCCAATCATGGAACTTAACTCTTGTCTTTATACCCTACACCACTTGTGGTAAAAGTACACTAAAGGTGTATAGAACGAGGTTCTTTCAATTCAAAATGATTTTCTATGTCTACTTAAGCCTATTTGTCCATTTGTCCTTCTAATAATTTCGAGATATTTCGACAAAATTTGATAAATTTATAGTTCCGAAAAATGTGCTGCCCATTTATATTAGTCAAGATCATTTATGAATCATATCAGTTTACTAGATTGCCTTCAATTATAAAGCTAAAGTATACTTTACAATTTACTTCCAACTTATTGGACAACTAAGCCCAATAAGACAAAAAGTTGTTAGTGAATAAAGCATTTAAAACTTGCAATGGTTTGTATAGCTACGTTCGCGCGTCTTGGCTTTGCATTTTTCCGTAAAGGAAACATAACCATTACCATACTGCATTTATCAGAAATAAATTCATTAGTGCACAAAAATATTGTCATGTAAAGCATGTACATATGATATGAAACGATAAAAGGAGCGAAATAAAAAAAAAAAGATTGACAAATTGAGAAAAGTTTCAATTACATTAACAGGCATTGTTGACAGATTCATAAGCGAAACTTGTTAACAATCACATGCATAGCACTTGCCGAGTAGGTGCTACTGAAGATGGTAATCGGTTGGGAAATATTTAATGTATAGTACCATGTTTGCGCACGAATGAGAAAAATAAAAGGAAAAAGCGTTATGCTGACAAAAGCGAGGTTCCTTTACTTAAGATATCAACGGATGTAAACATCAGCATGCAAATTCATTGCGTCACTTGGTTATAAAACAGCAATTAAAATGTACGAGATAGGCATGAATACGAATAGTATGTGCAGTGAACAGAGCGGAATGTATAAGATTTCCATGCAAGCAAAAGTGACATTTTTCAAGGAACAATTTTTATTCGTGTGAAAAATATTTTTCGCTGAAGAAAATTAATTTTTTCTTCATTTCTTTCAGGTTACCAGTTTTACTACCTGCGATAAAAAAGGTACAATACCAATGCCATCCTCTAGTGCGACCGCGTCGCAGCAACAGCGGCAGATAGCCACCATTGAAACACCACCGAATAGTGCTGGCATTACGGCCATGCAAATACCGACAGTTACCTGTGATTTAGCATCAGATATATCAACATCGGAGGCTGCCGATATTGAACCTCATCCTCTGGTATATCCCCCCAATAGCAGTTGCCTGACGCCACATGCTGCGGGGACACAATCGCCACCGAGTACATCCAATTGTAAAGAAAGTCTTAAAGTGAGTACGATAACAACAGCTCAAGGAGGTTTAAGTGTTCCCGTACCGACTTTAATGCAAGCTAATAATAGCATGAAAAGTAAATCAGCGGCTACGCTTAACAATAATAATGGTAAAGTCACAATAACCAGCGCCAGCTCCACCGCGACCAGTAATTTAATGGTCACCAAAATCACAACGACCACCAGCAGCAGTTCACCCAATGAGTTAAAGGTTTCCCCGATAGTTGCCCGCTGCCGAGCATTATCGGTCGGCATTGATACTGATTTGGTTAGCGAATTTGATCCTTCTAGTTCAGATTCGGGAGTAGTAAGTCGGTGCGCAGTAGTTAAACCATTGAAATTTCGCTTTTGCCAACCGATTTTTGGACGTAAAGCCAACAATCGTCGCCAAAATGAAGCCAAGTTAGCAGCAAATGCTGTCAAAGATCCCAATAAACCTACCGCAGAAGTTATAAAAGCTGAACTAGAACCTGCCATACCTAAGGTACAAAAATCGCGAGATCCAGAAAAAGAGAAACGTCGTATAGCTCGAAAGAAAGAGAAACGTGCCACACTCATACTCGGTTTAATAATGGGCTCTTTTATAGCGTCTTGGCTGCCATTCTTTTTTCTATATATATTAAAGCCAGCTTGTCGCGATCACTGTCATATACCCGATTCAGCATTTGCTATCGCTTTTTGGCTCGGCTATATGAATTCGGCTTTGAATCCGGCCATTTACACTATATTCAATAAGGACTTTCGACGAGCATTTCGTCGTATACTCTTCAAGTGATGTTTGGCTTATGTGTGCTGTTATCGGTGCGTTCATGCCAGCATTGAAAAGGCCACCGAACGTGCCATGGGCAGCACACCCATGGGTTACGGCATGTACCACCACTATCGACGATAGATTTGGTTATTTGCTTCTATTTAAGCGAAAAGAAGAAAAATATTCATTCATTGAAAATCCAACGTTAATTACCACATATGTGTCTTCAGTAAGTCATTTTCCTACCTTTCGTATGTACGGAGTATAAATTCAAAGAGATGTATAATTCTGGGTTATTTGCATAAAAGCAAATGTGTTTTTTATTTTTTTTTTTTTTATTTTATTTTATAAGAATGACTACAAATTTTCGGATTATAAGCACTAGACGAAGCTCATTTTAAAAGCGTAAAAAAAGGCTGTGAATTTAAATTTAAATTTTATGGTTTCATTCTTTCAATTTGATAAAAAATTTTTATTTTAAAGAAAAGTTATTTGAATTCTCTATTATGGAAATATTTAAGTAAAAATTAAATGAACATATTATATGTTAAACGCAAAACTACATGCGGTCAAGTTACAGCTGAAAGTACTGATTTTAATTAGGCGCACTATTGGTTTTAGAGATTGCTCCATATACGAGATTGCCATATACGAATAAAAAAATAAAAAAAAAACAAACACTGCTAAGAGTTTTCAAAATCGCGTTCGCTAATTTGAACAAAGCATTAAAAAATAAAAGGTCGGTGACTTGAAGAAATTTTAAATATCGCACGTACTCTCAATTCGTACATATAGGAGAAGATCGCTTATAAAAATGGGTTCCATATGATTACAATCATGTCCCACTTAAAAGCAGTCATGTCCCTCTAAATGTCTACAAAAATAACAAACAAACTGTAAACGAAATGCGATTGTTTGCAAACGTTTTCAAGCTTTCAATTTGACTCCTATTTGGCCTTACCACAGTTGGCTTAGACCGAAGCTTTTAATATCTGCAGAACGAATTTATTCTCTACTTATCCTTTCCAATAAGCTGTCGTATATATGACCTTCTAAACGTGAATTGCTGTGACGGTATACCATAATTTAGTTATATATTGACACTATCAGGTTTGAAGCGAGGTTAAATTAGTACCAGTAAGCATCCATACATATCATTACAAGCATACAGCTTTAACTGCAATTTACATATATATTTTTGTATATAGGTGTAATATTGAAATAATAATTACACTATGTCACGTAGATCGGCCATTGCGTATGGAATGGAAGGCAGACTCGTATTTTAAATGTGAAAACTTTCTTGACGTGCTATGAGAATCTTCTTTAAAAGGGAAAGGCATTAGAAATAACTTGACAAGGCTTTTACAAATCGTTACTTTAAAGAAAATAATTGAATTACTTTCCGAATAACCTCAACTTCGAAAAAAAATACTATAATTGATTGGTGTATGTCTTTCCAATGCATTTTGCAATTTGCAGTAACGGCGCTTTTTAGCCGAGGTATAAATTCAAGCCTTCTCCGAAGATTCAAAACAAAAATGCTCGGAACTTGCTGTTATTTATAATCTTAATTTGATTTGTCTGTAGGAGAGCTGTCCTTACGATCTAAGACTGGGGGCAATAAAATCTAGCACAGTGATGTAGACGGAAGACTTTTGTTCCCAATTCAATTAGGGTTTCGTGATCGCGGTTTCACAGATTATACTTTTATTCCCGAAAACAGAAAGTAGTCAGTTACAAGAAAGTATTCGTGGCCCTAACATGCTCCATTTTTTCGTCCAAGTGTCTGTTCAGCGATAGCAGCTAAGCAATAAACCATTTATATCCTATTAGTGGCGTCAAACAATCGGGATCAACTGCTAAACAACTCAGCGGCTAAGCCCGCTTTTTGCAAGGTCATGAAAGTTTTGTCTGAATATTAGAAAACTTAACCCTTTGGGTGCCATAGCAAAACTGATGATCGAAGGCTATTGGTATCTGCTATTTATAGTCGATATCAATATCGCTGTACGATTACATCATGTATGCGACAATGTTTATGCTTAAAATGCAGATTATTGACACTCAATGTTAAGAATAATAACAAAATCGGTTTAGCGACCTATGTACATCTGTATACTCGAAAGTCTAATGCGAGAGATAATAGATCTCTGCTTAGTAACAAGCTGCTATACTTGGAAAAAATGCGGTGAAGAAAGGGATTAGCGTTGTGTATAGGTTGTAGTGAAACACATTTAATATAAAAACCTTTTGACGTTTATTTAATGGTATGGTTCTCTGACATAACTTTGGCTTAAGTCTGACTTAACTCTACAGTGGTCCGTGTCTAATATAGCAAGTAAATATGCTGACTTAAACAAACTAAGTCATTACTAAAATTACATTGTGTGAAAATATGTGAAAATGTATCCACAATTTAAACGTGTGAAAATATGTGAAAATGTATACTTAACATAATCGATATGTGAGAATATATAAAAGTGTATACTTAGCATAAAGTTAGTAAACAGGTAGAATACGATGAGTCGATATGTGCCTAACGTAAGGAGATAATAACTGTCTGCTTCGTAACACGGGGTTGCGGTTTTCTGTTTGATAACAAAAGTAATTATACTTATAATGGGAAAATGTATATATGGGATTTATGTAGTTTACTTACATCATGACGTAAATACTTCAATCATAAATGGCGAAAAAGATGCTTGGTTGTCATAGTCACTCAAGGTTTTGAGTAGCGAAATTGTCCAGAATGGGTTGTTTTGTGGAAGAGAGAACAGTTGTTTATCAGATGGATCGATCGGATCTAATTGATACCTAGTAAGGGGGCAGGACTTTTCCCTACATTGACATTCTTATCAAATTGGAATCATAAAATTTTCTCAACACTATTGATCACTTCAATTATCTATTACTAGCATTTTATATGGAAAAAAATAAATTCCCAAAAAGTTTTTTTTTTTTTCGTAAAGAAAGATTAACAAAAATTCGCATTGTTAGTCCTCTAAAACAAATTTATGTATGGGCATAGGTGAAATTAAATTTTCACTTCCAATTCAATTCGCTTCATAAAACATTGATGACAAGTTTGGGTATTGTAAATAAATAGGACCAACATTTTCATATCACCTGATTGTATGGAAATGAATCAAAAAAAACCTGCGTAAGAAAAAACAGATGAAAAAAATCCAATTTATCATATATTCAATAAAATTGCAAACAAAATCAATTAAAAGCGTTGTTACGCTAAATCGAATATCCTTGAAAAGGAGAAGTAAACAGAAACAAATGCATAAGCATTGCTATACAGTATGCAATATTTTACATATTCACATATATCGAAGAATTTGAAATGGAATCAAATGAAAAATCGCTCAGCATGCAGTAAATATGCATTCGCATATATATGTGTACATACATGCGTAGAAGCGATTGATCGGAATGTTGAATGTTTATATATTTAAATGTATTTTTTTTTTTTTTTTATTTTCATTTATTTATTCTTTTATTTTTTGTTGTTGTTGATTTCGCCGAAAAGAAATAAAAGGAAAACATCACACTAACTAATGTGATATGCATGAAATGTTTTGTTTTTCTTTTTTTTTCTGTTATGAGAGCTTTATAGGTTTTCATACGGACACATATGTACATATTTACATATTTATACTTTATATACTTTATATACATATACTTTATACACATATATATATATGTGTATATATATATATAGGTGTGTGTGTATGAGTACAATATACGATTTTTTCCTCTTTGAAAAATTGAGACCAAAAGCGGTGTATTTAGCGTAGGCCCCCATCGCTAGCTACCCATTTTCCCATCTCTTTGCCTATTGCCGTGAAACATTCCTCGAGACATTTTGTTCGCATTATTAATTGCACATAAGTGTTAATCATAAATGGTCGTCTCAGGTGCGTAAGCTGCTTGGGCTTGCACTTTCAAGTGCTTTCCAGAAAAAAATTGGTTTGGGTCGGCTCTTTGAATGTTGTTGGCAGCGTTTGGCATTAACCGTTCCCCCAGTCTTTAACAGCTTATAACAGATTAGACTGTCCTGACCGCATAAAAGATAAAGTTTTGTCTTCTTGCCAAAGCGATTCGGTCTGGCAGTCTTCGGTCGATATGGATGTTAAACTTGGGCATACTACCGTTCTTATTTTGCTTTAGATTTTCAAAGTATATGCAATCGCTATCCTTCATGCGAAGTTACTTTACTGGGCACAGATCACAACGTTTCGCGCCATACGATGCAAGCACATTCTCAATTTGTCACTTATAACGTCTGACACTTGAAGGTGCGTGAAAATGCCGTACACATGTCAGACATTGCTTCTCAAATCCGCACTTTAAATCGGTATACCTGACATATTTACGTATAAATTTATGTGCAAGAGCATTCAATGCAGATAAAGAGTTTGTACAGGTAAATACATAACTATAAAACTCATGTTTGCCAAAAAAAGGGTGTTAAGGTTTTCATATGTTCAGTTATGTGTGGTTAAATAAATATATGCTCTTTAAAAACTATGTCCTTCAATCGGGAGACTGTGGATCTCATAGTAATATTCAAACGAGTACTTGTAAGGTAGTGTATGTATATTCAATGAAACCCACAACGCAATTCACATAAATTTACTTTTTCAAGCGTTTTTTTTTTTTTTTTTTTTTTTTTTTTTTTTTTCTTTATATTTTTATACATACTATTGACTATGTGTTTACATACGTCCATTACAACTTGCAAGATACTGTCAACCTCAGATCTCCGTAGTCTACATATGTAAATATGTATTTAACTTAACTCAGATATACAAATAACGTGATAGGCAATCAAGTATTTGTCAGCCAAGCAACGTAACTTAACCTGTGAATGCACGCACACACGTGTCTGTCTGCATCAGTCAGAAGGACAATTTTTAAAAGACTAATTTAGATCTTTAAGAATTTTATATACTTAAACGTTTATAGGAAATTTTCTTACTTCTTAATCTTAATATTGTATTTAGCTTATTATATATATATATGACGCTATATTCCAAAAGTTGCTCTTTTCAATTTTAATTTTGAAACTTTTTCTAAAACTGAAATTAATTTACACAGATTTCCCTGAATAGTTAGGATGTTAAGATAGGCAACTGGTAGGAATATAGCAGAGATTGTTGTTCTTCAATAGGAACAATATAACAATATAGATAATATGTTTAAATAAATGAAAAGAAACTAGATAAACTTGGAAAATTCATTGAAATAATTTAAGGAACGAAAAGAGAAATGAGTTTTCATGGTATGGAAGATCCAGTGTATGAAGTATTTTCAAACTTCTTCTCTCACTGGATTCATTTAGAACAGATATTGCCAAAGAATTTACACGATTACTCAGTCTGATGAGATATTTTGAAAGAGCTGATCAATTCAATTTTTAACACATGGAAAATTCTGGTCATCACAAATA